CGGGGATACCAGAGGTATCCCCAAAAAACTCTGTAGTGTAGACATAGCCTTAGTGTCAGTGCGAGGGAAGAAAAAATAAAAGAGTAATGGGGAGGTAGCATTCTATTTAGTCCTTGCAGAAAGGAAGAGCTACCAAAAGAGTTAAACTCAGAATGCCTCAAAGAAGTAAAATTTGAGAATTGTCTGGCCACTATATGCCTGGTCCTAGTCTAAAAAAAGGGATAAAAAAGGCAGTCACTGGAGGAATTCACAGAACACAATAAGAGAAATGTCAATGTGGCCTTATAGTTAAAATCAAATACAGTGAGCTAGTTTTGTGAGGTAACTATGATGATAGTTGTAAACTGCATGTATCAACAGTAACAAAGAGCTGTGACAAAGATAAATCATTTCTCTTAAGGACTGTACATTTCTTAGGTGGGATATTTAAGGGTATGTCTACACTACCCTCCTAATTCGAAGTAGGAGGGTAATGTAGGCATACCGCACTTGCAAATGAAGCCCGGGATTTGAATTTCCCGGGCTTCATTTGCATAAACTGGGCGCCGCCATTTTTAAATCCCTGCTCGTTCGAACCCCGTGCCTTTATGCAAATGAAGCCCGGGAAATTCAAATCCCGGGCTTCATTTGCAAGTGCGGTATGCCTACATTACCCTCCTACTTCGAATTAGGAGGGTAGTGTAGACATACCCTAAGTGAGGTTATCAATTGAAACAAGGAGTATTAACTCTTCTGAAGACTTTGTAGCCCTTACAAGATGTTTTTGGAGATAATTCAGCAATATATACTTAAACGCCACAAAGATTCATTTTAGCTTGGGTAATAAAAAAAAACTAGAAAAATCTGGTCCAAAATTTCCCAATATAACAGTTTTCCTATCTGAAAATACTGATTCTAAAAAATTAAAATGTTCCATGGGAATGTACTGATTCAGTCAAAATTTTCAAGGAAATTTTATCAAAGAGCTTCACATCGGTCAGACTGAGGTACTTCATCTGACTATGTCATTTTGACTATTCAGTATCATTTTATAGATTATAAAAGACTTTTCCCAGAGAATGGATATTCTGAGTTTTGAACATCTTTACACAGCAATTGGTTGGTCATCCGTTTAGTTTTAAAACATAAGTGTGATCATATTAAACCAGAACTGGTCAAATTATACTGATAATCCATTAACTATAATGTTTTGTTATGGACCTATAAAAGCATTCAATGGGCAGGCAACACACTACAATTGTTATTTTAAGAATGCAAATAAAATATTCTTATCCTTCAACATAAAATTATATACAATTCCAAATTAAGAGCCAAATTAGGTTTCTCCTGAACACATGTACTAAAGGGGGAAATGGTTCAAGAAATTTTTCCTCCCTAATATGCCCATCTAGGGACTTGCTATAATCTACTTTCTTGTTTTTCTGTCTGTCTAGACACTTATTTGGTGTCCATCACCATAGTATTCTTGGGCTGGAGTGTGCAAAGATAGGTGACTATCGCTGCCTGCAATTTCAGTGGCCTCAAAGGGGGCTGTTTCTGTGTGGAGGGAAGGTTCCCTATAGATGTTCCTTGGATGTAAGCTAAATTGATTGCATTGGAGGACTACATCTGTTAAATAGATGTAGAAGGATTAGTCTTTCCTACACTAACCCAGGGCCAAATTCATCCCTGTGCTACTACAGAGACTAGTGCTGAGATCAAGAGGAGGCAGCTTGCACTCTCCCTCTCCAATGCAGGTGCTATTCAGGATCTTTTTCCCATACTAGGATGCTTGCATGAAGTTCCTTCTAGTGTGAATGAAAGCTAAACATGTATGTTCAGAAGGAATATATGTCTTGGTCTGAAAGTGTAGGGCTTGAGCCTGCATTTCTTAAAGGCAAAACTCTCTTTAAAGCCCATCTGAATTTTGCCTATGTATATGTTGAAGGATTAGACTTTTGTTATAAAAATAAAAGTACACAGTTGTGACTTAGGGCTCTTGTTCATTCCCATCTCTTAGTTTTCCAAGTATGCTGAGTTTTTAAAATAGTGACCTTTTCATGAAAACCTGTGAGTCTTTTGTTGCACGCTAAGAACAAATTATGAAAGTTGAATTATTCAGTTGGGACTTTTCCCCCATTGCTTGGAATTTGAACAAGAAACTAACTTTAAAAAAAAGGAAAACCAAGCGTGTTGACAATGTCTCTAAAATCTGTATGTGTAATATTCTGTTGATTTACATACGTTAGGAAAGAAAAATATTTTAACAGTTGAGTCCAGCCTCACTCACACTGCCTCTATTAAGGATCACAGTCTCATTTGCCTTTAAGAAAGTTCTTTATAAACATATTATTAAATATGATTTTGATAATGTAGTGCTTACTAATTTTTTAGTATTCCTGTTCAGAATGTTAAGCTCCACTCAGCCAACCTGGAGTTGAAATTTCAGAGAACAGTTCATATAATAGTAGCTTTGTTATCCAAATAAACCATTAAAAGGTCAAATACTCACATCCAGACAGCAAATAAACTTAGTACTTTGTGAAAATCTTTTTAAAGCAGGTGGTGCATAGGTATACAATCCTGTTCAGTTTGTAATATACTTGAGTAATAAAACTGAACATAGAAATGAAAGTCTGGAAGACTGCAAGGATCTTTTGTGTGCACTGGCTAAGTAAATGTAGACATGGATTTTTACTTCTGTTTTTATATAAGCTGTGAACTTGCTCTGTTCTCTGACATTTTATTAGGTAACACAGCATATTTGTTAGAAACAAATTCTGCTTTCTGATATGCACATACACCTCCAAGTGCACACATTTGACCCTTAAAAAGCAAACACTCTGAAAATCATGGTACTGGAGCAGAGAGCTCTTTTTAGTATTAAGTCCACTGCTGTCAGTGCACTCCATCAAGAACCACCACCGTGACTAAATTAGAACTAGAGGTAGGAAAAAAAATAAAATGTGTTAGACAAAAAAGGGAAGTCTCATGAAAAATGTTCTCTGTATTTTGGCAAACGCTAATGAATACATTGCTTTTAAAGCTAAACCTACTGTAGCAAATATTTAACTCTACTAGCTAGAGTAGTGATGGTAAACCTTAACATTGTCCTGTTATTCTCTGCGTGGTGCCTTAATATATACCTGTCAGATTCCTTGCTTTGGTGGTGTATTTATCCCAGGTATTTAAGTTTATATTTTTTTAATGGACAGGGTCTGGGACAGTACTCCCTGTAGACTGTGCACTTGTGTGGAATTTCAGGAGTAATTCAAATGCGCCCAGCTGATTATGAGAGCGCTCCCGGTTAGGTCTGTGGTTCTACTGGTGGTGCACACTCGCATTTGCCTGGGTGCACATAACAAAATGCATTTATTCTGTTCATTACAGTTTGCTGGGAACAGGCGAATACAAGTGACTAGCAGTTAATTTTCTGTACGAGGCTTGTATTTTTGGTGGCCGTGTCATGATACTGAGCTCTTTCTCTGGAAGCCATCCCTGGCTTTCCAACACAAGCTGCTGTGCATTTGGGTAGGTCCGGCTGCTGGTTGCTGTCAATGTTTTGAAAGGGAACAGCCAGCGCTGGGGCTTGTTCTTTGCTAAGTTGGAGACTCGGGGGAAGTGACCCCCAACTCCTTTCCCCATTTCGGGCTGGGGACACTGCAGCTGGTGCCGGGGCAGGTGGCTCTAACGCTGCTTGTCCTGCACAAGCCACCGGCTCCCGCTCCTGCCTCTCGCCCTCCTCCCCCTGCCTCTGCCGGGCTAGGCGAAGCGCCCTGCGGCCAATGGACGGCAGCCTCCCAAGTTCCGCCCTCCTTCCCGCACGGGGAGCGGGCCCCGGGTGAAACGGCCCCAGTCTGGGCTGCCCAGCGTGAGCGAGTCATTGTCCCTGCAGAGCCGCGGAGCAGCCGCCGCCGGCTCCGAGTCGCGCTCCCTGCCCCTACGGGACAGCTCCCTCCTCGCATCTCCTCCCCCAGGAGCCGAGAAGCGGAGCCGAGCCTGTGAAGGGGCCTGGGCTTCACCCCTACCACGGCGTGATGAGCAAGCGCCAAGTCACCGTCCTGCTCCTGCAAGTTCTCCTGCAGTTGTGCCCGGGCTCCGGCGCCCAGCCTGCCCCGCAAGGTAAGGGGCGGCGGCCCTCTGCACCCCACTCCCCGAAGGGGCTGTGCTAGGGATAGGTGAGGCGCTGTCCAAGCTGAGGCCACTTTGGGCGAGGAGTATTTATTCTGCTGAGGTGCACTGTCGTGCTAGACAGCAGGAGACTTGATGGGAAACATACCACAGCAATAGAAACCCTACAATCTCTTTCCTCGGGCAAAGATGGCTAGATTGAATGCAAATAAGTCTCGTTGAGGTCATTATTTAACCCGTGACAGGGGTTAAGGTAGCACACCAGAAGAATATTTCATTCGGAGACATGGGAATTAAAGTCGATTAACTGAAGTACCAGAGTCTCAAACTTTTAAATTTTCCTTTTTCTTTAAATGAGCAATGAGATGCCTCTGCATCTATTTCAGTCTTGCCTAGGGATCAGGTTGTTTATATAGATACTCACGTGAGGAAACTATGTGATTAGCTTTTACAGGTATCTGTGACATGTCTCATGAGCCTCCTAGTGACATTCTCTTCCCTCTCCTATATTCTAGTCTACTATCCTCTTGGTCTCTGTTCTTCTCTCCTCTGTCCTAGTACACAGGTACGGGATCTGCATGAACACAGTGTAACTAAGGATTAGACAGTGCAAGTCCTTCTATTTATGCTTAATTTTGTGATGCATTACTTTACAGTACCCCAAAAGAAATGAATTTGGCACAAACATCTTAATTTATTGGAGACTCAATAAAGCAACAGTGTCTTTAATCTGTGAGGTGGTGCCAACTTGAGTCAACCAGTGCAGGGGTGGACAGAAACAAAATCTTAATAAAAATTAAATTCTTCCTAAGAAAATTTCAGACACTACACATTTGACTTTATATTAATAATAATGTACTGCTAATATCTAGATGCTGTGGTGTTTAATTTCCCAGTAACCTTCTACTTGTATTTATCCACCTGTTTGCAGATCTTGATTTGAACACAGTGTCCTTGTAACTAGGGGTGTGATTGCTTTAGCAGAAATCCTGCCCTAAGTTTGGGAAGAGGCTGTTTTAAAACTTTTGTAAAGAAGTGCACTGTCTGTGACTATTTACAACTACAGTGCTTTTGTGGCAAAAAATGGCGCTCTCTGGAAAATATGGTTGAGATTTTTAAAACATACATCTTCCTTTGGACTGCTTTGAAAATTTGAATCTTTAACTTTTCTTGAAATATTACTTTTTAAAAGTCTGTTTTGTAGATAAATAGTGCATTTGCCAAGTTCCACAGGCTCAAGTAGCATTTTTTATTAAATAGGTTTTCAAGAGCAAAGTATAATTGAAGGTAAGTACGGTATACACTGCCTCTTTTCCTATTTCCTACTTATTCTCTTCTACAGCTAATATTAGAATCTGGGTAAGGACTCCTTTTTAGACTGCACTACATGACTGTTTTATGATTATTTCATTTTATGTATACTGTACTTTATTTCCTTATTGGTCCAGTGTGGTTCAGCTGGTAGTGCTCTTGACTCAAAGCCAAAAGGACAATGATTTGAATTCTCTCCCAAGACCTGTATATATACACCAGATGTTGATATTGGGTTTACTGCAGTATGAAAGATGCTGCCTCTGTATATTATAAGATGCTGGCGAGAAGTGGACTGAGGTTTCCTGACTGCAGCTGGAGTCTAGGAGTTAAAACTGGAAGTTGGATTTTGTTCCTAACTCCGTGTGTGAAGTTGGGGAGGTCACGTCCATAGCAGTGTTATTTCAGAATAACTGATATTTCAAAATAACATAGTGTACATCTACACAGCAAGCCGATATTTTGAAATAATGTCAAGCTGGAGGACTTACTCCGGCTCCTATAACTCTCCTTTCATGAGGAGTGTTCTTCCTTCAACTTCCTGCTGTGTAGATAGCATCAAAAGCTAAATTAAGCTATTTCAGCTACGCAATCGATGTAGCTGAAGTTATGTATCTTAAGTCAACTTTTGCCCTGCAGTGTAAACGTGCACTTATTTTCTTTGTATTTTAGGACTGGTCTGCACTATATAGCTAGATCTGTATATCACCATGCATCCGTCTATTTGTTCATGTGCCCAGGATTAACTTTGTCTCTGGTCTATGTACATGCCCTGTTCCAGCAAAGCAGTAAACCCACATCCCTGAACAGTCACTATTGAGGCTGACACAGTGTGAAGGTGTGTCTATGCTGCAGGGCTTAACTTGAAATAAGCTACACAAATTGAGCGACATAAATTGCGTAGCTTATTTCAAAATAGCTTATTTCAAAATTGGGAGCGTCTGCACAGCACTTATTTCGAAATAGAGAGAGCACTCTTCCTCCGACTTCCTTACTCCTCAGACAATGAGGCTTACAGGGGTTGGAGTAATAAGTCCTTCAGTTTTGACAGTATTTTGACATTACAGGCAGTCCCCGACTTACGCGGATCCGACTTATGTCGGATCCGCAGTTACGAACGCAGCTTTTCTCGCCCCGGAGGACACGGACTGCGGGACCTCGCGGTCCAGCCGCCCGCGTACTCCGGTGCGAGAAAAGCTGCTCCGCGTCTCCCTGGTTTGCAGACCAGGAAGACGCGGAGCAAAGCCGCAGAGGGGCTCCCGGCGGCCCGGCGGGCCCGGCGGGCCGGGGGG